TATTTTATTTATTTGGGATAATTTGTCATAAAATTATAAGTTCTTTAAAAACTGATCAAAATATGAATACAAAGAATAATCGTCTATACATTCATACATAAAATGTCAAAAGTTTACAAATGATTGAAAAAAATGAGTTTAAAATGCAAAATGATTATCAAAATGAAAATACGATTAAAAAACAGAGCGAACAATGATTTTAGGGAAACAAATGATAATTAAAAATCAAGCCGTTTGGAGGGAGTGCGTCGCCTTTTGTCGGGCGTACCGGTGCTGTTGGCGCTACCAGTGCTGTGGGGAGTGTCCGGTGTGCGGCCGCACTCAATGGACGCCACACTCGGACCCTCATCGTCATCGGCGGCGGAGTCGGCCGATTGCGGGGCGTCCGGTGCCTCGGCATCGGTAGCCTCGTCACTGACATCTCCGTTAGGTGTGGGCGGCGTTAGGCCGGCGTTCGTCGCCTTATGGAAGCGACAATAGCGACACGTTTTGCGTGTCTCGACATCTATGGCACAGTCGGCCGACCCGTTGACACACTCGCCGACCTCCAGTTGGCTGCGCAGCGCCCGACCCACGAATATATGGCATCCGTTGCACAGATAGCACGACCAGTACTTCCCGACCGCACTCTCGCCGCAAACGCAACACTTCTCCGGCAGAAGTCTCTTCTTGTGCTTCGGACTCGTGTCCACCCGTTTCGACGACTCATTCCTCCGGACAGTAGTCGCTGGCGTTGACTTTGGTCTCGACTTCGGCTAGACTTGGACTTCGGTCTAGACTTTGGCTTTGGTATTGGTATTGGTTTTAGCTTTGGTATAGTATTCCTCTCGAGTCCACCATTTGATCGTAACTTAATGGGCGATATGACAACACTTGGCTGGGTCATCCACTCGTGAGATTCAACCCTCGATCCAATCCCTGGGAAATGGAGTTTAGTATTAAATTTAGTAGTGTTTAAGGAGTAAAGTCTGGTGGGTGTGAGTGAGTGAGTGAGAGAGAGAGAGAGAGAGAGAGAGAGAGAGAGAGCTTACTTTTACGTTTAGGTGAACTGTTCTCACCATTGAGTACAGGTGTGGGCATTGGCTCACGAGTTGTGGTCAACGCTGTCTTAAAGCTACCATTAATAGCGCTCCCGTTGGCGACAGACACATCTGGATTGGCGTCGATGGCAACGGGCATACCATTGACGGGGAAAGCCCTGTCGGGCATGTCTTGGCGCACATACCGTTGCAATAGCTGTGTCTTGGCGTCAAAGGCTCGTCGCTCCTCAGGAGTGACCACCAATGCGGACACAAATCTATGGTAGCGTTCGTTGAGGTCTTTGATGGCTTTCTTGAGCAGACACTTCTGTCCCAACGACATGTCCCTCATCTCAACCAAATCCGTGTCCACATCGATGGCCAACACCGTGTGGATCGAGTCGAAGCCGTTGGCCATCAGTGAGACAATTGTCTCGCATTTAATGCCTTTGATGTGCGAGAAGTAGTCGAAGCAAAAGGTGTCGGCGCCCGACATCAGCGGCTCTACCGGTGCTGTCGACGGCATACGCGCGATGGCCATCGATTGGGACATCACTGTCTTGGGATCAGTTAGAGTGCAGTCTTATTAATGAAACACTTTTTTTGCAGACAAACCAATGATTGACACGTTTTTCAAAGCAATCGTTGAGTGAAAAACTTTTTCAACACTTTTCGCTGTAATATTCACACAGTTTTTGACACTTATTTCCACACAATATGACTCAACCGATAGTCGTAAACATTAATATCCAATAAACATGTATGCAATCAATGGGTTCACAGTATGCGAGTTCATAATCAATACATGAATCACTGGGAAATCCAAATATTTTCTCACGACATGCCTGTCCACAAAAGCACATGTATTTCATATGCTTTTGCCGATTGCAAGCATACAAAGCATTGACTCAAAAGTATAGCACAAACGCAAACACATTGAAATTAGTGGTAATTCAAGGAAATACCATATTTAGCATATCTCATGTCCATAAGGTTTAGCTCCCTTTCCCCTCAATCCCCGTCATACTAGCCCTCTAAGGACTTTAACCCATTAAACCTTAATCTATAAATAGACGGCAATAAAAGGTCTGGTATTTCGATAAGTTTTTGCATACTTTTAGTTATTTGATATGTTTTGCAAATTGCAATACACGTGCGCTTGTGATACAAAATCAATGAATAAATGGTTTGATTTTTTAGATTTATAAATTCAATGTTCAGTTCATTCAACCCTTTAAACGCTTTTTAATTATAATTTCAATTAAAAGTGCATAAAATAGTTCACATAAATATGATGATAATACAGATGTTCAGTATTACCATTATTGTTGTTAATCGCTGATAATAACCGCAGAGGAATGGCTCAAAGAAGTGAATCAACGCTAACACAAGTCTTCGGAAAAGACTCTTTCGACAGATTTGGTGACGATTTGTGTGAACA